CCTTCTTCGGTTTCTGGCACTGACTACCAATGTGTCCTTCTTCACCATAGTTGAAGCAAATTACCTCCTTATGCTTGCACTCAGATACAACATGCCAATTCTTACCACAACAGAAACACCTCTTCACCTCAGCAGTACACACATTACTCTTATGCCCAGGTTTTCCATATTTAAAATAAACCACACCAGCAGGAGCGTCTCCCCCACTAGTCCTCTGACCCTGAGCAGTTTTCTGTTTACCTTTATCAACTGGGACATCATAAGGCTTACCACGATTCTGTTGGTGCTTACCCCTCTTCTCACTGATAATCTTGTAATGAGCATTATTATCCTCTTCATAAATTCTGCAACTATCAATCAAATTAGCAAAGACACAGATCTTCTAGTATCCAACTACCTTCTTGATCTCTGGACGCAACCCGTTCTCAAACTTGATGGACTTTGAAAACTTACCATTTACCTCGCTATAGTGCGGATAGAACTTAGCCAACTCAGCATACTCAACAACCGACATACTCCCTTGCTTCAGTTCGAGAAACTCAATTTCCTTCTTACCACGGACATCTTCAGGGAAATACTTCCTCAGAAATTCCCTACGGAACACAGTCCAAGTGACATTTTCACCTGCAGCTTCCAACCTCTGACACGTCTCTAGCCACCAGTCACCAGCTTCGACTGCTAGCATATGAGTATCATACCGAACCTTTTGCGCTGGAGTGCAGTCCATCACCCGGAACATTCTCTCAATATATTTCAACCAATCCAACGCTCCGTCAGGATCCTACTTACCCTTGAAGGTAGGCGAATTTTCCCTCTGGAAGGTCGCCAAACTACGAGATCCAGCATTTCCGTCAGTGTTCGGCTAATTTTCCATAGCATGTGCCATTGCTTCTAAAGCAGCAGCAAGTGCAGCACCATTCCTTCCAGCCATCTCAACTTATCACTATAACATAAACAACGGTTAGAACTCGAATTAACAATACTCAATTGTTAAACAAAACTACGACTCGACAACTTGGTCGGACAGACCGACTTGCTCTGATACCAACTTGTAACACCTCAATTCTATCCCAATCGATAAATATAATAATCAGAGTTACATAATTCACAACCAAACTAGGATGCTACAATTACAACTTAAAACCATTGCATTCAACATGGATACATAACACTTTAAAACTTCGGATGAACCAACAAATTATTAATCTTTTAAACCAACAAATTGAACAACTACCCAGCGGAATCATAATAACATCTTTGTCCAATATTAAAGCAACTTCAAAATAACAAGTACTTAACAAAAATTAACTTAAAGTTCAACAACTGAAATAACAACAACTAAAAGCAACAAACGTTCATCCCCCTGAGTGTTACGTATCAGAGCAATGACAATGACTCGAACTACTAAAGGTATTCCACCTTCACTATGGGTTACCTGCACGTTACCAACATTGGGGTAACATTCAAACAGAAGGGGTGACATATCGAACAATATAACAAAATGTATGATAAATATTATATTAAAATCAGTTCATACATATTCACCACTTCTCAGGTTTTAACATCATAAACATAATCAAATCAATCGCACAATGACTAGGAATGCAATACCGGATACAACTCATTTTTATGCAAATGCATGTGGTACCAATAGAGCAAAACTCTCATCTTAAAAATTTGTCAATAAATAGAAGCATCAACAAGGTATAAGCCTTCTTCGCAGTTTACCAATCCAGGCCATCACATAGTATGCAAATGTATATGACTCAATGAATGCACTATCACATACTCACAATAATCATCATCCATCACAAGGCATAAGCCCACATCACTATTATTACCAATAAATAGAGGTAATTCATCGTCATCTAAAATTCCCTGTAACTTTGCATTACTAACAAGAATTCACAGTGACAATCACAACAACACAACAACTCACATCAATCCACATTGGCCATAAGCCTATCAATTCAATACCACCTTCAATTTATATTTTCCAATCAAGTATTCAACACACCGTATCGACTGCAATATGCAACAAATATTATTTATAATTATTCGGACAATTCAACTATACCGACTTAATAATTATCTGCTAAAATTACTACTTTTTCTTCTCTGTACTACTATTATCAAACCCACACTTTACTCTGCTAATTAAAAAAACTTGCTACTAATTTATCTTTACTATATATATATATATATATATATATATATATATATATATATATATATATATATATATATATATATATATATATATATATATATATATATATATATATATATATATATATATATATATATATATATATATATATATATATATATATATTAGTTACTAATGTCTTTGTTATTTAATACCAATTCTGCTATATTAATATTATTCTGCTACTAAAATTATCTATACTTTCAACACTTAATAAAATTCCAATAATTAATTTATACTATGATGCTTCCAAATAATTAGCCTATAATTTCTAATTAATATGTTACTAATTTGCTAAAAGTTTGAAAGAATTAATAAAAAGGAATTGGTAACTTAATAATAAGAACTGCTACAATGCAATATTGGGACTCTTGCACTTCTGTCGTCCCCCTTGCCATTCATGGTGTGCCTAGCGGCACACTTCCCTTTCTCTCCCATGTGCCACTCGGCACACATCCTCCCTCTCTCACCATGTGCCACTCGACACACTCACACACACACACAGTATACCGCTCGGCACCCCTTTCTCTGTCGGGCGCCACTTTTCGAATGCCTCTTGGCACACTTCTTCCAGTACCTGTTTTCTACGTAATTTTTTCAGAAAATTCTTAATACCTGTCTCATATACCAACACTTTAATTACTACAACATCAAATTTTCATAAAAGCAATTCATCACCGAAACAGCAACTCAAACACATTAAATTAACAACACTTTCAACACAGTTAACAGGATTTAACATCAATATATTTGTTTATACAACTTAATTACACGTGTCATTTATCAAACAACCCGTTATAGAGTCAGAACCTCACCCTTACCTTAGATTGAAGGTCGCTCTACGATTTTCCGATCGAAACCCGCTTCGCCTCTTCTCTGTATTCCTCTTCTCTGCAACTCCTACGATCAACTTCCAATTCCTTATTCTCAAATAACCTAATTTCTATTATTACTAAACTTAATAATAATAGTCTATTGGGCCTAATTCTCACATCTCCCCCCCCCCCCCCCTTAATACAACGTACCACCAAAATTAGCTCAATCACTAAAACTAATAATTTCAACATTTATTATTATTAATCAACTAATTAATTAATTAATAATAATCTAACAACTTATACCTACAATTCTCAATATTTCACAACTTCAACAAATAATCCAAAAATAATTTAATTAAATAATTAATTAAGTCAACGGACGTTACAGTTTATGTCGTCAGGTCATACACAATCAAATCTCACTCGGACTACAAGCTCGACAACATAAAAATTGTATAGAAACCATCTGCACTTTTTTAAGTTCTAAACGTGACTTTTATCATTAAGAGCATTTGTTACAACAAAACATACGCAAACAACAAATAAAAACACGATAAAACATCTAAGAAATTACAACCGTCAAAACAATTTCATCTGAGCCATGCATCATCACCATTACGTTTCTGTCTGTTTTCACTTCCTTCAACCAAGGTTGAGTTCTTCCAGTTGCAAGTGAGGTAGTTGTTCTTCTTCTCTGGATCCTTCTAATTTGTTCTACAGCCTCGATGTCTCCCTTTAGTCATTGCATCAACTCTCTCTTCAGACGCTCTATGGAGTGAATGTGCCAAATTTTCATTTTCATCAGAGGTTTGGTGGCCAAGAAAATAACGTATCAATCTCTGGTGAAAATCATGGGAGATGTCATGACGCAAATAACATAGAAAAAATAAGAAGAGAATGTGAGAAAGTGTGAAGAATGGTGGAGAAATGTATGTTTTATTTATAGAAAATATAATTGCATGTAGTAGCCATCTCAGATGGCGCCTCCTCCCTTTTTTATAGTGCATGCGCCATCTCACATAGCTAAAATAAAGTGCATGCATCAAGTGAGATGGCGCCTAAGACAAAAACCTTATTGCATACACCAAGTGAGATGGCGCCTCCATTGTAGTGTTTTCTGAAACATGGTTATTTGCGTAATTTTCTCCAAAACATGATTATTTGTGTTTTTTTCAATACTTAGTTATTGCTAAAAAAAATTCTAGATAGCTCGCGGATATAATTTTGGTGGGAATTACTTAAGGCACCCGATGGATTGCTATCACACCCTAAAAAAAATCAAAAATACCTCTAAATTTTGGAGATGTGTCTTCTAACGTATCTCACACATACAGAATTCATTCGGTTGTGAGTCACGCTTCAATTTTATAACTAAATTTATTCCAAAAATACATTTTTCAAAATGTCTTCGAAAATACATTTTTGAAACCTAATATAAAAATAATAACATGAGATTCAAGTCTTTCTATGTGACAGATGTGTATTAGTGTACTCCATCCAACACAATCAATTCTTTCTCTATTGTACTACTAACTAGATATAGTGATAGTATTTGACTAATAAATAAATTCAACTCACATCTCATAAAAATTGGATTGTAAATAAATATATTTTGAAACTAAGAACCGACTAATTTCTTAGGAGATAAAACAAGAGTGTAATTATTTAGTTCCAAAAAGTGACATTAAATTGCACTGTCAATGACACAAATAATTGTTACTATTATTTGTGCCACAATCTTTTAACAGCCCTCACTACTAGTATTTTAAAATTATAATCTCCGCCAAAATGTTAAGTAATAATCCAATCGGGTAATCATCTTTTCATCCACGAGACCAAAAATTTCATGCCAAGCAACTTATAATCCAAGAAATCTGGTGATGTCAATGAATTGTATGAACAAGTAAACAAAAAAACAACAGGTACTCTTAACCTGTTGACTAGATGAACACATACTCCCTTATGTGTTTTGGCTATGCTTGGGTATGGGCCTTTGGCCTCCACGCCTGCTGCTGCGGACCTTGACGACCTTTTGTAGGTATAATTGAAGTCGAACCATCGGAGGTTGCTCCTTGCTTTGGAGTCGAACCATTGGAGCTTGCTCCTTGCTTTGGAGTCGAACCATTGGAGCTTGCTCCTTGCTTTGAAGTAGAGGCATTGGAGCTTACTCCTTGCTTTGAAGTAGAGGCATTGGAGCTTGCTCCTTGCTTTGAAGTCGAAGCGTTAGAATTGGCTCTTTGCTTTGAAGTCGAACCGTTGGGATTGGCCCTTTGCTTTGAAGTCGAACCGTTGGAATTGGCCCCTTGCTTTGAAGTCGAACCGTTGGAATTGGCTCCTCGCTTTGAAGTCAAACCATTGGAATTGACTCCCTGCCTGCCATTTTGAACAAGGTGTTTTGAATGTGGGAGTGGGAGCACTCCCCTGTGGACCTGTGGTTGAGTTAGATGAGGGTAACCGGCGTTGTAATTTGGAACGGAAGGCCTGACATTATAATAAGGATTGACAGGTCTCACAATAAGGCTGAACACATGCGGTGGTACTAATTGGGTCAGGAGAGAGATTTGGTTCTGATTGTTTGATATAAGTAAGTTGTACGTCGTTTGAAATGCTTCGCCTATCTTTTTCAGCTGTCCTGCACTCACTGATCTTGCTGAATTTTCTGGCTGCTCAAAAGGATCCTCAACCTAATCAAGTCAAATTCAATTATAACATATCAATAGCAGAGCGCGAGAATTTGTGCATGATAAAATTTAGTTTCCGTGTGGCATTGACTGAAGAGGGAGGAACCAAAAGGGAACCGAGCATATTTGTCGAAGTAATTAAACATAGTCTATCCTCAACCACACAAAAAGCATGTAAAGAGAAAGAAGAATATTACGTATATTGCACTAGTCTTAGGCAACCATCTCATGTTGTTTTCTATCTGTTCCCGTTGTCCCGTATAAGTGCAAATTCCATACTCTGCGGCCCATGAATCTATCTGAGCAAACTGCAGTAACATAAAACATGCTATGATTATTATTGAAATAAATAAAAAATTCCAAGAGGGTTATGTTATAGATTTTGAGGAAATTCACTATCAAGGAGAGCCTAAACAAACAAATCTGCACCAAATGCTTGCTTTTCATTAAAAGTACACTATATCTATTACTACAACTTTTCTTGGTGTTTTAACAGATTAGGGAAAAAGAAAGGTAGTCTTAAAATTATTAGCTATGAACTGAGAATGCCATATGCTAAATGGAGAAAGCATACAAATGTCTTTCACTGATACCAAAAGTATAAAATAATCTACCTTTCTTAGGAAATCAATGAAAAGTTCAGGTAAAGATGTTCTGTTGATTCGCCTCAACTTATTTAATATGAAGCTGTCTATGTTAGCATTACAGGTTTCTGCAATAAGATTCTCGGCATCAACTCTAACACCTGCAGAGAGTACAACAAGACTGGTTATAATCAATAGTCATTATCAATAGTATTTTTCTCTCATCTTTTACACATAATTACAAATTCAACACTAACTCAACTCTAAAAGCAAGCTCAAGGGAGAGAGAGCTGTCCAAGTCATTATAAGGAATGGTTTGGTCACATGTGTAGCTGATATGGGATTTTGACACCCTTCTGTATGCTCGATTAAATATCTAGATTATGAAGTTTGTAGGATTATAGATTTGCAATTGGCCAAAAAACTGAAAACAAATGGGCCTAACTCAATTCCAAAAGCTAGCATTATGGTAATAGATTATCGGATATGCTATAAGGAGTACATTGGCAATATTGCAAATTTGGGATCTTCATACACCCATACATAACTTGTGTGCATTTACAGAATTCTTCACATTGAAGTATGCACACAAACTGAATATCTAAAAGAAAAGGAAATATTTCAACTTTATGCAAAGAGGTTCAGCTCCTATAAATTTGGCCTAAATATCTCAAATTATAGAATAATGACGCTTCATGATTGTTGAAATCATAGATGAAGTTTACCTCTTAGCTCATCAACCATATTGGTAGGATATATATCTTTCAGCGGTGGAAAAATTGCAGGAACACATGTCTGAAAATGAAAGAAAATTTTGAATGCATCAGAAGACAAAGACCAGTTTATTATTCGCATCGCAGAAGAAAACCAACAGACAACATATTAAAGCGGAGGCATCAACTATTTTTGGTAGTTACAAATCTTCAAACTAACCAAAAACTTTTTAAACATTAAAAAAGCACAAATATGAAGTGGTGAGTCGGTTCGTGGCATTATATATAATATCAAACTATGCATCATGCATTATAGTTGCTTGAAATATTGAGATTTTGAGTTTTATGTCGGTTACTTTTTTAATTTATGTTTATGCAACTTTTATTTGGGTGCAACATGCTTTATTTTATATACATTTAATTATATTTCAACCGCATTGCTGCTTCTGCTATTTCTCGGATTTCGGACTATCCGCTATTAATAACACAGTATTTAACAAAATATTTCCTAGAATATGCTTGGTCAACAACATAAAGAAAAATATCACCACATAAAGAAATATGGAGAAGCCGAGGTACCTGAAAGTGAAAGATTACAAGTAAACTGAGAGTAAAGGAGTTGAAAGATCCAGTCTTCGAGTTATTGATTTTATGTGCGTTGGCCCATTGCTTAACCTACAAAACCAGAAAGAATGAATCAAAACCGAAGCAATTGCTAGCCTGGCAATCCTACTTCAGCCTCAAGAACGTACCACTAAAACCAAATCATGAAAGCGGGAATCTATCTTGTTGATCCAAAGCAAAAATTTGGATTTCATCAGGCCCGGAAGGTTATTGATCGAAACATCGCAAGATATGCCTTGTCGTACGCTTTTGAATTTTAAAATGGGAACTCTTGCATGAGGGATGAACTGAAAGTGCATGCATCCACCTGTAAATTATTGTAATCACCAAAATGTATTACTTGGAAAGAACATTTCAAGGTGATTAGGAAAAACCAAATTTGTAAGTCACGAATAAGAGCTAACTAATACAAATTTTTGTAACAACTTTTACGAGACAGAAGTCACAATTAGAAGAAAATTACCTTTCACTCTCAAAACTTTTAGGAAATTTACCAGCAACGTTTGTTTTTGTTTTTTCCCAGCAGATGCAATATGGGTGCCATTTAATATCTCAATTGAAATATCCAAGTCACCCCATCGCGTGAAGAGATTAGATACATATGACCCAAAAGGTTCAACAGTTGCTCCTGTTCCAAAAATTGAGTAAACTTGCAATTTTAAATTCTTAAATTTCATAACTGAACCAAAAATAATTTGCTCATTGCTAGAAGATACAGGACCCCACGCCTTCTGTTCATTCTTACCCCTGAATAGCTATCGGACTACAATCACAGGCCGGCCAAGTTAAATTCTATATGATTCTTTTGTGGCAAATTCTAATTTGAGGATCAGACTAGCTGTTATGCTAAGCTAAGCAATGCCGCTTATAGCAGTTGGACAAGGAAAGGCAACGCAAGAGCGAGCAGCCACACATGAACCGCAGTAAACGATGTCATGAATCATGATAGGATTTCCTCTATCCAGATCACAAATGTTTGGAATCCAAATTATGGAAGGAGACATTGATCTTGATCTTTTCAAGATAGGTCGTCGAAAGGATCTCAAACCCACCAAAGCACGAAAGCCGGGATTTTTGACAAAATAGATTCCTATAATTTTTCTAGGACAACAAGCCAGTTAGGAATCCTTTATCTTGCACCAATCACTCTTTTGATTTTGGAAAAGAAAAAAAACATCTTTATCAATATATTCTTTCTCATACTCTTAATAGATAGCTCCACCTGCTTTCGGCCTCCGATCCGCTCTGCTGTTGACGCCCTGACCGATGCTTACCAAAAGAAGGGAATTGCACGAAAGAAAAGGGATAATCTTCATGGACCGGCTTCTGCCAATCTAAGTTTGGTGCATTTCATATGGTGATAAAGTGAGCCCACGTAAAGAGCTCTCTAGATTATTATAACAGATTAGAATTGGAGAATTTATTTAACTCCTCCAAAATCCCCCAAAACCCTCATCTAATATAAATTTTTAGTTCTCAAAATAGAGAAATTTTGTGTTGTGAAGAAAAATAAACCCTTCAAAACTCTCCTCTCCTCTCCTTTCGATTCTTTTCATTGCATCCTTCCTTTTTTTTCAAAGTCCTCCGAAACAAAACCTTAGAAAATTTGCCACATTTGTTTCTTCTCCGAAGAGGAAGGTTTGAATCTTTCAATCCAACGTTGTGAGGGATGTGTCCTATGTTAGGTCCACAAAATACCACCATTTTTGGTGTTCTATGATTCACCTCCGAATAGGATGAATGACTCAATCAGTTATGTGTATACAAAAAGAAACAGAGACTCTAAATAAAAAGAGGGAGCTAGTAATCCCTGCCACATTGGCCTGATCCTGTTACTGAGTCACAGACTCACAGCAGTGAGATACAATATAGTAATTTAATGAATCTTGTATATTCAATATAATAACTATCCAATTATAAGCATATAAAGAACAAGCTACATTAGGTTAGTCAAAACTGTTTGGTTCCCCCAAAGCTTTTAAGGTTCCAACAATAAAAAATACTTATGTATAGACAATGTAATATAAATAAAGGAGAATCCTTTCACTTTTATGGATCATCCATATACGTGTTTATTAGTGTTAATTGTTAAATCAACACTTATTAATTCTATGTTTGGGGGGGAGAAACAAAACATTTAGTAGTTTACCTCTCAGGCTTTCCACAGATTCAACAGTGCTTCGCAAATCATTTATAATTGCAAGCCGTATCTCCCAATCTTCTCGCGAGGGTGTGACCATATGAAGTATATCATGTAAAACAACGTCCAACATACTTTGCTTGTTCATTTTCTGTCTCTGTAACCCCCCAGTCGAAGTGAATGTAACAATGACGACAATGGTTTGCAGAACTAAGTGAACAAAATGAAAGCAAGAGGATCGCAATCTACAAGCATAGGCATCTTGAAACACACTTCATAACCTTTGAAAATCCTGGAGAAGCATCCCTAACCTGATACATTTGTTTATAAAGTTAGAGATAAAACCATGTGTGTGGATCTATTCCAATGAACATATAGCTAAACATGAAACCTGACACGGGTATTCATATGGATGAGAATATAAAATCATTTTCTTAATTGATAATTCATAAATTTCCTTCAAGGATTTTACACCCACATAGATTTTACATGGTTTGGTCAACGTGACCTACATCTACGCAGACAGTGAGAGGGTTTGTTGTTTCTTTCAGAAAAATAGATACAGAGAGCCGCATGATACTGTGAGCAACCCTATTACCCTTATCGCAATGGTTGGGAATTACAATGAATGTATATAAATGGGTCGATTCGCATCGTTCTCATTAATATTTTGAGATTCAAATATTGGGCAGGGTTACCATTCGAGTCTGTCAGTCCATTAATGATTCAATGCGACTCCACGCAAAAAGGCTATCAAGCACAATCACAATTAGCTACCTATAATCTATAAATGAATCAGATAATTATATCTAAAGTATCAAACGCAACATTATAGAATTAGGAATTTGAAGTCAAACTGTTATTACAGAATAAGAGAATAAACCGAATCATAGTAGAATGAAGAAGAATGCTGATAGAATTTTCATGGTTTGGTCAATGCGACTTACATCCACGCTGACAATGAGAGGGTTTCTTACTTCTTTCAGAGAAATAGATACAAAGAGGCGCAATGATACTGTGAGAAACCCTAGTACCCTAATCGCACTGGTTCGGAATTACAAGGAATGTATAGAAATGGGTCAGTTCGCATTGTCTTCAGTATTTTGAAGTCCAAAATATTGGGCCGGGTTACCTTTCGAGTCGGTCGGTCCATTAATGTGATTTAATGCACCTCCACACAAAAAGGTTATCAAACACAATCACAAATAGCTAGCCCATAATCCATAATTGACAAAGCTAACTATATCTAACATATCCAATATAACACAACAGTAAAGCATCATGGGAGTTTAAAAGCAAAGTGTTATAACAGAACAAGAGAATAAACAGAATTATAGTCAAATTCCCCCAAATCCTACGATGTTCGGTCAATGTAAGCTACACCACCCACAGGCAATAAGAGCCTTACTTCTTTCAGGCAAACAGATACAGCGATTCAATGAGCAGCCCTACTACCTCTTATGGTAGCAATTCAAAATTACAAGGAGTACATAAATACGGGTCCGATTCTCATCTTTATCGTTACTATTTTGAACTCAAAAATATTCAACCAAGTTACAATTCGGGTCGGCCCACTAACATGATCTAATGCATCTCAATGCAAAAAGGCAATCAAGTATCAACACTATTTGATTTGTGTGTGATTCTTGTTCTTCCATATAAATTCTTATGAAAACCAATAAAGGTTGTTCCTTGCTCTCTGATAAAGAGGGATCAATACTCATGCCTATGAAAACAACTTATAACTAATATCATACCATGCACAAAATAAATTAAACCTAATCACAAATGTCAGTGTCAGTTTCGGACACCAACATTGACACGCCTTTTTTCAGAGGCAATGTCCATACATAAAATAGAAATCGGTAAGAGCACAAACCAATAAAAGAGAACCTAATTAATTATACAAAAAAAAACAAATAAATTAGAAACACGAAAATAGACAGAACTGATAAAAAGGCAGAATCAAGCAAATGCATCCCTTCATTCAGATTTGTGGAAGCGAAAATAGAAAAACAAATAAAGGATCATCGCTGAAATTCAAATTGGCATTGCTATGAGTGAGAAAGGAAACAACTTTACTAAAGGCAATGATTGAATATGAAGTATGAAGCAGCAGTAACAGTGATTATTGTAACTTAGGAGGAAGGGTTTGCTTTCAACTTTCTATTTAGAAAACAGTTTAAAGATCGATTGATATGATAGTTTACCTTTTTCATTGGGTGGATTTGAACGCGGGAAAGGGGGGTTAATGAGTCCTTGATGTTCTTGTTCCTTTCAAATTGCTGATTGTCAAGAATATTCAACGAGAGATTCTGGGGCAGAAGAAGAGATGGTTTTATAGTAATTTGTAGCATTCTTTTTGGGACAATCACTCGGTTTATTTTTTCATTGTAGTGATTCTTTGGGAATTTATTTGATCTTTATGGTAAATATTTTGGCTTGACTTTTTTCATAAGAAAAGTTACTCTAAATTGGCATATATTTATTTATTTATTTATCAAATAAAATGTCACATATTTTTTTTGTTATTAATTTAAAAGAATTAATTTTTTTCTAAGATTAATCATCTTTAATTTTAGTTAGATGATTGTCCTGCGATGAAATTAGAAGTTAGAACTCTTAAGTGGACGAAGAAGTAATATTTGATACAATAATTTGAACTTTCGATGAGGTGGAAAGAGAGTTGAACTATAATGTTAACACTCCGACACTAAGTCAATAAGAGAATTAAAAGTGATGTGAGAGGGAGAATAAATTTGAATACTTGAGAAATTGTGTCTTTTCTCTTAAATAGTGGGACGATTATCAATAGAAAGCGTGGAGTAAGGTGTGGATCGCGGCCCGTCGTTAGATTAATCTAGACGGATAGTAGAGATCCTGAAGGCAGAATTACATGTTTCGGAGGGAATAGAGTCTACTTGTTCAATGCGTTACCATTAAGCTTTTCATCACAGGCATTGTGGACAACGCAAAACAATGATAACAAGATATAAGAGAAAATAAGAAGACAAAAATTGTCTTTCTCTCTCTAAAGAAAAATGATATGTCCTCCTTTAAAGCGTTGATTCCTCACTTCTCAACGCTCAAATTCAAATACCTTCTTCTCAATATAGCATTTTTTATGTGGTGGTGTGATTGTTCGTCCTTATTACGTCGTTATCAAACCACTTCAGACGGGTTATTCTTTAACACGACAACGACAATCGGATCCTCAATGGTGGTGGTTGTTAATAATTTTTTGGTGAGAATATTTGAGGTTGTATTGTCTTTATAGTTCCTATTAAGAAAGATATCATGCTTACCTTGATAGTGGGTCGACTTGTCGATTACTTCTATTAAAAAAATTGAGGTCTTATTCACTAATTTTGTGGTCGGTTCGACTTTGGCTCTCGCCACGGCGACAAAGTTTATTTAGTTTCATCTTCTCGTATGCATTGTGTGGTTGATGTTTATGTCCCTATAATTTTTATTGGTTCCAAATTTTTGAGACTTGCAAGTTTCAAGATTCAGTTTGTCTCTGTTGATGGTGGTTATGCAGTGGTTGGTTCTTGTATTGTGTCCCGACTTCAAGTTCACCTCCTCTTTTGTATTAAAATTTTATTCGACCTTTTGTGATGGATTTCATATTTTTTGGCAAGAAATGATTGTGAGTTTGCCCTATTATCATGGTAAATTGTTGGTGACTGAATTTGTTTTCATCTTGGCAGTCCAGTTCATTTGTTATTCCAAAGATTTTTTTGAGTGCTCGTCATACGCCTCATTTTTTTGAAATTTGGGTTTGTTGAATTATGTATGTGGTTCCTTATTGATTTCTTTGCAAATAGAATTGAGTTGTCTTTACCTTCTAGGATTGTTGTGTGTTATCCTTTTTGGATTTTTTTCTATTTATTGAGTCATGTTTTATGTCCCTCAGTCTTGTGTACTTTTTCCTTTTTATTTTATTATTTCTAAAGATGTAAGAGAAAAAGAACAAGTATATGCTCTATCTTACTTTTGTATAAAGTAACTAATAATAATGAAAATAGTAAACGCTCTGATAGATATTCATGTATGGAAGCTCTCACAATTTTAGTTATGATGATTGTTGTGCAATGAAATTAGAATTGTTCGGTGGATGATGGAGTAATATTTGTTACAATGGACTTGAATTTTTGACAAGGCAAAGAGAGAGCTGACCTATAAGGTTAGCACTCTGATGTCAAGCTTGTAAGAGAATAAAAAAGTGATGTGAGAGAGAGAATGAATTTGAATACTTGAGAAATTGTGTGTCTTTCTCTTAAATAGTGGAACGGTTATCAACAGAAAGTGTAGAGTGTGGTGTGGATTGTGATCCGCCTTTAGATTGATCTAGATGGGCAGTAGAGATCCTGAAGGCAGAATTACCTACTTCACGGAGAATGGAGTCTACCTGTTCAATGTGTTTTACTATTTTCGCTTTAACATTAAGCTTATCGTCTTAGGCATTGTGGCCAACCCAGAACAATGATAACAAGATATAAGAGAAAAATAAGAAGAAGAAAATTGTCGTTATCTCTCTCTAAAGAAAAATGATATGCCCTCTCACTAAAGCTTTGATTCCTCTTTTCTCATCGCTCAAATTCAAATCAGTTCTTCTTTGTGTAGTCCCTGTTATGTGGTGGTGCGATCATTTGTATTTTTCGCATCGCCATCAAACCTCTTCATATGGGTTATTCTTTAACACAACAACGACAATCAGATCCTCAATAGTGGTGGTTGTTAATAATTGTTTGGTGTGAAGATTTGAGGTTGTATTGTCTTTCTAGTTCCTCTTAACGAAGATTTGATGCTTACCTTGGTAGTGGGTCGACTTGTGATTGTTTCTATTTTTGTGGTCAATTTAGCTTTGGCTCCCGTCACGACGGCAGAGGTTCTTTAGTGTCATGTTCTCTGATGTATTATGTGGTTGATGTTTATGTCCCTTGAATTTTTATTGGTTCCAAATTTGTTGAGATTTGTAAGTTTTAAGATATCTTTTGTCTTCCTTAACGGTTATGCGGTGGTTGGTTCTTGGATTTTGTCACAGCTTCAGGTTCACCACCTCTTTTGTATTAAAATTTTATTCGGTCTTTTTTTATGGATTTCAGGTTGTTTGGCGAGAAATGGTTGTGAAATTTCCTTGGTGTCACAGTAAATTTTTGGTGAATGAATTTGTTTTTATGTTAGCATCTGATTTCATTTATTACTCCAAATATTTTTCCTGGTGCTCATCATACGTCTCATTTTTTTGTAATTTGGGTTCATTGAGTTATGCATGTGGTTCATTGTTGATTGCTTCATAAATAGATTTGAGGTGTCTTTACTATGAAGTCAAGCTTCTCCAACATTGTGTTTTGATGAAGACAACTTTAAATATCTCAAGACCATGTACATATATTAAATAAGGAAAAAGATGCATTACTTTGTTCAAACTATGGGTTCAAGTTTCAAGGTATATAAAATTCTTAACATATATAATCTTAGTGCTCAAAGTCTTTTAATCATGCATTGAAAAAGCTATTTCATATTTAAATCTTGGTATAATAAATTTCAAATGTTTTTACAAGTGATGGTTTATAGTTTGGTTAATGGTTCATGAAGAGTGTGTGTGGACTTAGAAAAAAATTGTCATTATATATATATATATATATACTTTCAGTGAATGGTGAATTAGCTCAATTGGTTGAAAGTCATGTGTTAAAGAACTGAAAGGTCTTGGGTTTTAAGTCTTGAGAATTACATTTTGACCAATTTTTCATGTTTTAATATTCTATGCAATCGATTGTAATTTTGGTGCAATTGATTGCATCTAAATCAAATTTGAAAAATGTTGAATCATAAACACCTTTTCACTAAACCACTTCAGGTTAACATTTCATTTATTGCATTCATTTTCAGCCAATTTTTACCAACCATTGCCATATTTTATAAAGAGTTGTTTTCACTCTATAAATTGATTTTCAAATTTTATTTTACCGTTACCTCTTCCAAAATTATCAAAAACTCTCTGCATATTTTTTCTAAACATTTTTTTCATAAAGTGATACTTTTTTAGTAACATTTTCATGTCATATTCATAAAAGTATCTCGAGCACTTAAGAGAGTATTGTGTTATTAAGTTTCATATTGAAATAGGAGAAGTCCTTCATAGAATTTATATACTATAAACTTACTTATTCAAAATTTCTTATTCTATCACATCTTATTTTTTCAGAATTGTTGGAATTAAGATTGTTTTTTGTATATCATATTATTCAGGATTGTTGGAAACAAGAGATTGGAAAAGAAATGATTGTTTTCTTTTTCTACTTGATTGGTGTAGATACCTTGTTGTTTAGGATTGTTCGAAACAAAAGAGTTAAAATGGAGAGGATTGTCCTTATTTCAACTTGGTTGATCACAAGAGGATTATTCTTGGTGATTTTGTTAGATAGGAAGATTATGAGAGTCTTGTACATAAGGTCTAACAATAATAAAACCTCTTACATATGATAAGGGAACTAGATGTACTCTCGAATTGTGAGGGGAACTAGGATAAATTTTCGGTGTTCTTTATTTTTCGTACTTTACCGCTTTCATCGCCAAACCAAATCATAAAAGTTAGAATCAATATTCATAAAACTTGACAAAGTTTGAAAATCCTAATTCACCCTTCTCTCTTAGGTGCACTCTTAAACTTACAATTGGTATCAGAGCAGGTTATCGATAACATGTTCCTAAAGATCCATAATGGCTTCCGCAAATGCAAATTTGATTTTTCAAAGAGAGTGGTAGCAATAATAAGCCTTCATTGTTTTGTGGTGAATATTTCAATTTCTGGAAAATACGCATGAAAACGCATCTAGAATCTCAAGGAAAAGAAGTTCAGAAAGAATTTGTAGATGGTTCTTTCGTTCCTACCAGTGTTGTTAATGATGTTGGTACCCTTAAGCCTGATAGTTCATGGAATGAAGATGATGAGAAAAATTTCTCTACAACAAGAAAGCAATAAATATTCTTCAAGGTGCACTTAGAATGGATTAATTCTTTCGAATTTCGGCATGTACAATGGCAAATATGATATGGGATACATTGGTGGAAACTCATGAAGGAACCATTGAAGTTAAAAGATCTAGATTTAACACTTTGAGTCAAGAGCACGAATTATTCAGAATGTAGCCCAGAGAATCAATCCTCGACTTATAGAAAAGATTTATGCATTTGACAAATCACTTGAAAGCACTTGGTAAGACTCTTACTACTGATGAACTTAATCTTAAAGTTCTTAGATCTTTAACCAGAGAATAGCAACCAAAAGTGACGGTAATATCCGAGAAGAAAAATCTATCCAAAATGACTTCCACGACATTGTTCGGAA